GGGAGGAGGGGGAGGACGACGAGGACGTGGAGAGCAGGAGGAGGATGAAGATGTGGAGGAGGAGCGGGAGGACGACGAAGACGTGGAGGAGGAGGAGGCGGATGGAGGAGCAGAAAGGAGAAGAAAGACCATGATAATGAAATGACGACGAGAGAGAGAGAGAGAGAGAGAGAGAGAGAGAGAGAGAGAGAGAGAGAGAGAGAGAGAGAGAGAGAGAGAGAGAGAGATTCTTGCACTGTTCTTCGCTGGGCTTCTCACGCTGCCTTTGCTACGCCCGCTGCTAGCCCTGCTGCGCTTGCTCCTTGCCTGCTATGGCCACTTCATTGCCCTGCTTCTTCCTCCCTCTGACGATGGCGGTAGTGGCGGGCATGCAAGTTCGAACGTTGTTGTGGGAGGGGGGTCAATTCGAAGACCGCGGGCACTACCGGGCCGACACTATGCAAAACCTACATTCAAATGGGCAGAAAAAAAGGAGGAAGAAAACTTCCGACAAGCACAAAAAAAAATTCCGCCCTACTGGATGCCCCTTCAGGGCCAAAAAAAATTGGGTCGTATTTTTGGCTGGCGGCCCTTGGCGCAACGAAATGCCCTGGGAGGCTGGGCTGCCACAAAATAAATTTTGCTCTTGGCCAAAGGGTCTGGAATCCGGACCGGGATCCGGACAACTTAACCAGACACCAGACTCCGGACGGTCCAGATCCCTGTCCGAAGGTCCGGATTGCTGCCATGGAAAACAGGGACTTTATGCAACAGGGTTTGGTTACTTGGAAGTTGAATCTTCTGATTTCTCAGCATTGTGAATTTGTGAATTTTCTTGGGTGATAAATCGTAAACCAAGCAAAGATCACATGTGACGATATATATATATAATATTATATATATATCGTCAAATAGAACTGCCCGGTAAACCGTAGGCAGAGAGGGAGAATATATATATATCCTCTTCTCTCTTTCTGCCTACGGTTTTACCGGGCAGTTCTGTTTGTGACGATATATATATATATATATATGGACTGGCAAATGATGGGATGTCCGCTTTGAATATTTCAAGTTGATTATAATATAATAAATATATTAATAATTGCATCATCTAGAATTGCACGGCTGCCATTGATTGAATATGGCAATCACTGGAGCTTAATTCCCTGATGACCACTGTTGAAATGTACCTGGAAGCACAGTCAGCGTACATGCGTACTCCTTACTTAGGAGGATGTCTAGGGAGAAGCAGCACGATCACAGACGTCTTCAGATAAACAGCTGATCAAATGGGATCAATGTCAGTCGTCTATTCATCTCAAGATTTTAGAGTTTGCTTTTGTGTGACTGACTGATTGTGATTGATTGAGTTCATTGATTGATTGATTTAATGATCAGTTTTTCATTTTGATTAATCAATTCAATCAATTGATTGATTGATTGATTGATCGATTGATTGATTGATTGATTGATTGATTGATTGATTGATTGACCGATTATTTGATTGACCGATTGGTTGGTTGGTCGATTGATTGATCGATCACATCTATTTAATCGATTGATTGATCGATCACATCTATTTGATCGATTGATTAAGCCATATGCAAATGTTTGGAGAATCAATGAATGATAGACTGATCTATCATTCATTGATTCATTAATTCACTGATTCACTGATCCCATTGTTTGATTGATTGATCAGATTCCTTGATTGACTGATCAGATTCCTTGATTGATTGATCAGATTCCTTGATTGATTGATCAGATTCCTTGATTGGCTGATCAGATTCCTTGATTGATTGACTGATTAATTGATTGGTTGGTTGGTTGGTTGGTTGGTTGTTGGATGATGAACAGGCATTTGCCGGACAAGTACAAGCGGTTCTGGGTATCAGAGTGGCTGACCTCACCGCCAACTGCATTTATTCAACTAGAGAACATCTACTTAGATGACTCGTTTGCAATATCCGGTCGCGACAGCGCAGCCAGCGACCAAAGCCAGCTGTAGGTGGAGGGCGCTGCATGGGAAAAAAAAAAGAGGAAAAAAGAACCTTTGTAATCAACCACACCCTCTCTTCATTCCCCAGATCGCACCATCGTGGCATTTTTCTGCAAACGTAGTGGCGCCATCAGACAGCCGTGATCAATCTCCAGATCTGATAGTGTGCGCCATCAGTCGTTTGTCGAATTGGACACCCTTGTAACGGTTATGTGTTTTTTTCTGTCTATTTACGTCTCGTCTCCTCTACGTAGTAGAGGGGGGTTATACATATCTAGCATTTCCCAAGAAATCATTCAGGCCGTTTTCGGGGGGGCGCCCTCTGATACCCTTCCAAACGAGGCCGTTATCGGGGGGGGGGGGGGAAGGTCCTCTGATACCCCTCCAAATGAGGCCATTGATCTGGCAATTGGATATCCACGGCACACAGTCCCTTAAGTTTAGCTAGGACCGGCTGCCGGTATTTTATTTGGAGTATAGGCGTTTATGGTCATCAGCATTTTTCTTGTCTTCCTGTGAGAGAGGGAAGAAGGGGAAGGAGGGGGGCGGCCGAGGCGGGGCTGTTGCCTTTTAACTCTCCAATGTTTCCATCAAATTTCACACAGTTCCACTATGGTTTTCCTCCTTCCAGCGATTGCCAAACAGGATTCATCATTCTGGCATCGGGCAGTTGCAACCAGTTCATGGATTCCGAAGTAGGACTACTAGGCTACTAGGGAGCCCAGTAGGGGAGCCTAGTTAGGGTGAACTGGTGGTAAAGTCAAGTTGAGAGGACAGGAGAGGAAGGGGAGGCAGAGAGGGGTGGGGTCAAGGGTACATTGAGGACTGCGGGGTACATGGAAAGGCGACGATGACCCTGATGATGAATGGAAGAGCGTGTATTGGTGAAGGAATGGGAGGGACGGAACGAGATGGGGGGGGGTAGGGGGGAAGACGGGAGAAGGGGGTATGTCGATGGGGGGAGGGAAGGAGGGAGAAGAGGAGAAGAGGAGAGAAGCTCACAAGGGTATGTCATGGTTGAGTCCCAGGTGGAGGGGTGGGGGGAAGAGGGGAGAAGGGGGTATGTCTATGGAGGGAACAAGGGGCGCGGAGAAGAGGGGAGCAAGGTATGTCTTTGGGGGGGGTGGCGGGGGAGGAGAGGAGAAGAGGGGAGACGATCAGAAGGGTGTATGTTAAGGTTGAGTCCTAGTTTGCGGTCGGTACCTGGGGCTTTCTCCCCATCTCCCCTCCCCCTCCCTCTCTCATGAACTTCTAACAGATGGATTGTTTGCCGACATCGAAACGCAAAAATGGGAGGACAATGAATGGCAGAGGGAGGATGAATGCCGTCAGCGATCGATAGCGAAACCCCTGTCCTGTCCAACAACACCACAGCATGGTAATGGTACTGGATATCTTCACGGACAGCTTCGCTACCAACGCTGACCGCTGATTGTACTGGCTCTTTGGGTTCAGAAGACACAGCTTCGCTGAATTGCAAATTGGCTCACCTGGGAAGCTGATTCTGCCGAATTGCGAATTGCCCCCCCCCCCCCCCCCCCCCCCCCCTCCTCCATCCCCCCTGGGAAGAGACAGCTTCATGATCGATGGTACTGTACTTGCTCTTTGCTATATGACCTGCAATTGCTACCGCGTAGCCTCCATTTACTGAATAAAAAAAATAAAAAAATAAAAAAAAAACTTTTACACGACTATTTCAGAAAAGTCGTCGCCGCCTGGTGTTGTCCATATTATCCCATTGGCAGCAGAAATGCAAATTGGCTGGCCTTCTACAGTCGTGACCGGTTCCCGTTCACGTGGCACAGGCTGGCTGGTAGAGGTGGATTTTGTGAGCCCAGTAGACCCTGCGCACGACGTCCTCTCCTTCCTGCAGGCGAGCCCAGTGGTTAGGGCACAACGGTAATTCCCCTTCTGCGGGCCAGCCTATCGGGGCAAGTGCCGCAAGAAAGTAAAGACAGTGGCATCGCTGGCGCCGGGAAGTATATGGTGATTTTTTTGCCAGAATGGGTACCCCTCATTTTTCACTCATTTTGGGGGGGGGGGGGGGGGGGGGGGGAGTGAGGAAGGCATTGTCATCCATAGCTTCGTTCGATCGACCGCCTATCGCTTTTCTCGAAGCGCAATGTCCAACCGGTCTCTCAGGACTCGGCATGCTCTGATTGATTCTCGCAACTCACGGTTTGCACATCAAGCTTCAGCTGCGCATAAGCTGACGCTGTAAGATCTGGTGATGGACATCGCAGGCTCGCAGCTGACGCCGTAAGATCTGGTGATGGACATCGCAGCTTACGCCGTAAGATCTGGTGATGGACATTGGTTGGTTGGGTGCGCACTTAAAAGCTTGAAGCTGCATAAGTTCAGGAGTGGAGAGCTGGGGACTGGCTTGCCCACAGATTGTCAGCGAGTTGTTCTTCCCCAACTGGAGGGGGGAAGGGGAGGGGGGAGGAGGAGGGGGGAGGAGAATAGGGAGCACTTGTTCTTCCCCAACTGGAGTTAAAACTGTTAAAAAGTTCATTTTAAAAATAGATTAATGTATTCCCTCAGCTTGGTTTGCCTGCATCTGAATCTCCTGCAATCATTCGGCCAGCTTGGCTTTGGAACGGCAAAGGTGGAAGTCAGCGAGTTGTCTGACGTCAGTGCAGGTCGATGATGTCATAATGTCTGCTGAGCTGTCTCAGTGTGTCCCCTTGAGCTGCAACAGTGTATCCAAATGAGCTGTTTCAGATAATCAGTCTGTCACACTGAGCTGTCCGATCATGGCCCACTGAGCTGTCTCAGTGTGTCCCACTGAGCTGTCCCACTATGTCCCAATGAGTTGTCCCACTGTGTACCGCTGAGCTGTCCTTGCAACTGAGCTGTCTTGACTATATGCCCCACGAAATTGTCCCTGTATGTCCCCAAGCTGTCCCAGTATGTGTCCCTGTATGTCCCACAGTTGTCCCAGTACATCCCACACTGTTGTTCCACTGAGCTGCCCCAACTTTGTCCCAGTGTCTCCCCCTGAGTCGTCCCAGTATGTCCTACACAGTTGTCCCACAGCTGTCCCAGTATGTCCCGCCCTGTTGTCCCACTGAGCTGCACAACTTTGTCCCAGTGTCTCTCCCTGAGTCGTCCCAGTATGTCCTAACACAGTTGTCCGACTGAGGTACCTTCTTTGTCCCAGTGTCTCGCCCAGTGTCGCCCCCTTCCTCAGGGATGTTGCTTGGGTTACTTCGCATCAGACGGGGGAAGGGGGCGGGAGGAGGGGGGGGGTGCGCACGGGAATTAAAAATTAACGAAATCACTGAAAATTGGTTTCGCCCATGAAAAAATAAAAAATGTTTGCACAAAGTCAGCACGATGTAGCACTGACGTTTCAGGCCGAGCAGGGCCCGGGGGGGGGGAGATTGGTTTCTTCTGGTTCGCAAACTTAGTCCGGGAAGGACTGGTGGCGGTTTAAAAAACAGTCCTCCTAAATTAGGAGGATCTTTTTGAAGTCTGAAAACTCCGAAGTGAACGTTTGATGCGATTTTGCGAAACCAGTCGCTAGCTCCTCATTCTCACCCTTGCTTCCGGCAAACGTCGCCATTTTTATTTTGCCTTCGCATCGTCATCAGTTTTCATCTGTCCAGACGTTCACCAGCACGATTGTAATCATCATGAGACACCCTATTCTGTCAATTTACAACCATATCACAGAATAATAAATTATTAATTTATTATTGTTTTTCTTATTATAACAATAGTAATAATTGTTTTTATTATTATTATTGTTAAAATAATAATAATTATTATTATATTATATTATATTATATTATATTATATTATATTATATTATATAATATTATATTATATTATATAATGAGAGATTGAGTACTTGGCACCAAATGATTGTGTAGTGACAGAGTCAAGCAGTTTGTGTTACTCTGCTGCAATGTGGTGACTCGTCATCGCATAGTGTCCCTTGTCTGAAGAAGACCTGGTATATTTAGTTGTTTAATGGAAATTGCAATTAAATTACTAAAATTTAGTAAATATTTACTAAAAAATAAATCATTTTAAGTATTAAAATTTATGAAATTGTGAACATGATGTCAAGCATTCCGTGTGACTGCTAGCGAGAATACTTTGTGGATGTTAATTATTATTAAATTAATTAATTAATGCAAATGCCATATTCTTTACAAATCTTTAGGCCACTTGTCTCGCGCGGCCGTGCAGCCTGGGAAAGTCGCCTGGGATCACCTGCTCGGGGCACCATGTGCAGGTAAAACTCAAGCCCTCTTTTTTGGGTGGGGCGGGTCGCGGGGGGGCGCTTTTTTGCAAATGCCCAGAGGAGTTTTTTTGGGTGTTGGCTGATATGGGAGTGGGACGGGGGTATCAATGGGCCTAAAGGGGTTTAAAAAAAGGGGGGTTGCCTTAGTCTGATTCTGTTGTTTTCTGTCTTATCTCTGATTCCGTGCGGAATTCTGGTGTGACCCTTAACCACAAGTCGTTTGTACCTTTGTATTGGAATTTCTACACAACATTGTTTTTTCTGGAATTTACTTTTAGTTTTAGTTTTTTTCCCAAACCGCAAGTGGCCCCTTCTATTCTGTGGGGCTCCAGTCCGGTTGCTTATCACCAGCAAGCATGTTCTTACAACGAGATATCAGGGGAGATCAGACAAGAAAGAAGATCTGCGACTCCCTTGGGACCCTAGCCACCTGACAAAGGGGGGACTGCTCCAGGGTGTTCCCTCCCCTCATGCCCCAGCCTTCCTTAGGGGGTTGCCCTGCTGGCCGGGAGGCTTCCTAGCAGCACCCAATCATGCAGCAGGGTAACCTTCAGAGAGGCGGGGCACAGGGGGCGGGCTTCCGTAGCAGCTCCTCGGGCCACTTGTCATCCTAAAATTATCCTATTACTGCCTCACCCATTGTCAGACTCTCTACCATCCCATGTACCTGTTTCTGGATGCTTTTGAATTCCTTCCTTATTTTTTTTTTGGGGGGGGCACTGGGGTTGCCCGGAACCGGCCGGGCACCCAGGCGTGTATCCGGGCACAAGTTGGGTGCCTGGGTGCCCAGACAAACAGCCTAGCATATTCTCAAATTGTGACCATAAAAAATCAACAATGTCAATCTTTAGTCATGACACTCTCTGAATTTTCAGCACAAAACAGCCCCTATTCCACCCAGATTAGTAGCTTCAAAATTGAAGCAGCTTAAGTCTTATCGCAATCGCAGACAACGAAACACTTGAGTCGAGGCAATCCAGCTAGGGAACAGTTTTACCTGTGTGTGTGTGTGTGTGTGTGTGTGTGTGTGTGTGTGTGTGTGTCATGCTCGCTATACACAACTCCACAATACAAAGCATGACTGTGCCCGACTGTCTTGTCGGACTTTCACCAACTCATCAAGGAGGTTGAACCCCGATAAACCCCGATAAACAGCCTGCCCAGGATGCGCTTAGAGCCTTAGAGTGATGGATATGGTCTCACCACATCGCCCAGAGTTTAGTGATACCCATCCCTTAAAAGAGGGAAGTGGTCGGCTTTACTCACACCAACCCTGCGATCATTAGCAGCCTGGCAAGAACGGCAGCTGAGAAACTAATCCTAGCAGACCGTCGATCCAAACCTCTGACGAGAATGGCCGTAAGTCCGCGGAATTAACAAGTCTGTTGCAGCCATAAGACCCACTCTACCCACCCACTCAGCCATGGATAGCCAATGGCATGACCGCTTTTACGGTCCTACCCTAGGCGCATTTACCCACCCCGAACAGAGAGCTTCGCAAGGCCGTGTTGTGTGTTCTCTGTGAAAGTGGTGGACATCATACGTGTGTTTATGTGGGTGGGTGGTGCCCTTTTTGTTTTCCCATTGCATGTTTCTTTTTTTTTTGAACCACTAGTACCTTTGCCGCGTGGGAAAATAGCAGGCCTCGGGTGGGCCTCCGACCTTTTCAGAGGCCGAAACGAAATGAAACAACGGGCGCCGATCAGATTTATCAATGGCAGCCTTCATCGGGCCCAGCCTCCAAATTTTTTGACTTTGAGAAAACTGCCACTTTCCCCTATTTTCCCAATACTGGCGGCGGTACTAGTGGTTTAAGGCCCTTCCATTCTGGGGGCATCAGTCTGGTTGCTTATCACCGGCAAGCAAGTTTTTAACACCCATCAAAGTAAGGGGGGAGAACAGGCAATGGCCCGACCCTTGTGGTACTAGACCCCTATCAAGGGCGGGGGGGGGGGCTACTACAGAACGTCCTACCCCCGAAGCCTTGGCCTTTCATAGGGGGTTGGCCTGCAGCCGGGAAGCTTTACTAGCAGCACCCAGTCACGCAACTGGTCAAATCCCGGGCAGGCCAGGCCTGAGTGGGGGCTTCTGTGGCAGTTCCTCTCCTCAAGCCGCCTGTCAATCTACTGATCTCGTTCGTCTATCACTTTCGTAGCCACTACCATGCCTTGATAGGGGTCTAGTACCACAAGGGGGTCGGGCCATTGCTTTTCTTTTTTCTTTTGCCTGTTCTCCCCCCTTCCCTGTTACCCCGTCACGTTTCCTCGTTTCTGTTTTTTTCAGATAAGTACATACTACATAGGGCTTCGCTCCACTACTCACCAATTGTGCGAAACGAGAATGAATCTTCCGGTCGAACATGGGAAGTTGCACCACCATAATGTTCGGCTTTTTTTTTTTTTTTTTTTTTTTTTTTTTTTTTTTTTTTTTTTTTTTTTTTTTTTNTTTTTTTTTTTTTTTTTTTTTTTTTTTTTTTAATCCTGGATCTTCTGAGTTGCGGAGCAAGGAGCAAGGCCCCTTACATTTTCTGTTATTGTGTTGTTCAAATTTTTGCATTTATCAACCTTTCCCCTTCTCTTCCCGGACCGCTGGTTCGTTTTCGCGTTTCGAGCTTCGCTTTCTGCACCGTTGTTAAATTTTGAAGTTTGAACCATTTTTCCGGCCATTTGTCAAAATTTGTTCATTGCAGTCCTCTAATGTGTTAGACCCCCTGCGACTCTGTATTATACCATAGCTCATTCCCCCCTCTTGTGCTGTATATATGGTATAATGTGAGGCCTCATGAGGACCAGTAGGGCCCAAGTTTAGGCTAGAATAAGCGAGGGTAAAAAAATAGCAGGAAGCCGTAGGACCCAAATTTAGGCTAGAAAAAAAGCGGAGAGGACAGGTAAAAAACACACACACACACAAAAAAAAAAAGAGAAAAAAGGACTGGTCAAACCTAGACAGGAACCCGGTCGGGCATGGTGGTAATCAGAAGACTCTGGAAGGCAATTCCTACCGGCTGAGATGGAACTGTTGCTGGTACCTAACGAAAGTCGGGAGGGTACCGTGGGACCCGGACCCTGGTACTCAAAGAAAGTCCGGGAAACAATAGCAGCAGAGGGCAGCTCCAACCATCCAGCCAACGGCAGCCATAGCTCTGTGGAGGAAGAACATTGGCGCCATAGGCTCGAAAACAGTTCTGAAGTGTAGGACGACATGGTGCTAGAAGGGGAGATCCTTGGTCGAAGGGGAAGGTCACGGAGGAGACTCTGGATTCTTTGTCCAGCGAGATCCTGGAAGACTCTGGATATGTTTGCCCCGTGTCGACCGGGAGATCCTTGGTCGAAGGGGAAGAGGTCATGGAGCAGACGATGGATTTCCGAGTTGTCGAGGAACTTTCTGTTTTTTTTTTACATCTTTTACCTAGGCTGCCAGCCGGGCCGCCCGGTTCACCTCTGTTTTCCCGGGCAGCCCGGCCGTGCAAGGACCAGGGAAGGTCCCAGCAAAAGCAAAAAAAAACTGAATGAAAAAGAACTATGTTATGCAGAAAAATAAACTGAACAACTTTTGCCTCAGGGTGACGCCGAAATTCTTTACCAAATTGAAAATCATTTTTATTTATTTATTTTTTTTTCTGGGCCGGCCGGGCAAGTGGTCCCGGGACACTCTGGTAGCCTAGCCTGGTGGTACTAGTGGAGCGGGAAAAAGTCCACGCTCGGGGAAAAAACTGAGGTGACTGTGGATTTTTTTCCCCAACGAGTGCAGACGGAACCAGTCCCAGGCACGGCAGCACGTGCAACATACTTGTGCACGGCCTCAGTTTTTTATTGTTGGCTGGGGCATGGACTGGTGGTTTAAACTTTGAAACTTCTTTTTTTTTTTTTTAATTGTTTATTACCAAAGCCGGGAACCGGGCCCAGCGTCTCTTACAAAAGTTTATTAGTGGACCCCGCTACGATACATATTTATCGTCAAACAGAACTGCCCGGTAAGCCGTAGGCAGAGAGAGAGAGAGAGAGAGAGAGAGAGAGAGAGAGAGAGAGAGAG